CTCCAGGAGTCCCTCCTTTCCTCCAGGAGTCCCTCCTTTCCTCCAGGAGTCCCTCCTTTCCTCCAGGAGTTACTCCTTTCCTCCTCTTCCAGGAGTCCCTCCGTTTCTCCGTCACCTCTCCGTCTCTTTCTCTGAAGTTGCCCCGATGCCAAAAACAGGAAGTCGCTCTCTTTCTGTGGCCCGGTGCCTCACTTCCCCTTCTGGTGACAGGTATCCAGGCAACAGCCAATCGGAGGCCTTTTGAAAGTCCTCGCAACTTCATTCGCCGACTTCAAAGGAAATTCTCCGGCCAGAAACGGGAGATGAATTAAGGGATGTGGTGCGTGTGTCACGCCTGGGGGATTTCTGGTGTTTTTGTTCCGTCTCCGTGGTTTTTCTTGTCATTTCCTGTTTTATTTTGAAAGGTACAACCTCTTGTTTCAGGTCTCAGGTCTCTGTTTTGGTCTGCTTGTCTTCCCTGATGGGGTTCCCTTCATGTGTTCAATAGTCTGAGTCTCTTTTTGGGTTTCGTATTTCGTCTCTTGCCCCCTACTGAGCAATAACCTTATCCTTTAACCAAACCTTTCCTTGCTTCTTGTCAAACCTCGAAAGAGGGATTTTGTTTTCCGACCCTCCCAGTTTTGTCTAACTCTCGTGAGTATTATTTTGTTGCTTTGTTTCATAGCCTTTTTTTTTTCCATCCTGGCCTTTTTGAGTGATTATATTTTGTACTTTGTCCACAGTCTTGTTTTTGCCTCGTAAGAGTGATTTACATTTCATACTTTGTTCATAGTTTTGTCTCCCTTGTTTTGCTCTTTGTTTCTCACCCTGTGAGAGTTCGCCCTGAGTAAATTGAAACCTTTTGCCGAGATCAGAAACGGGAGATGAATTAAGGGATGTGGTGCGTGTGTCACGCCCTGCGGATTTCTGGTGTTTTTGTCCCGTCTCCATGGTTTTTATTGTCATTTCCTGTTTTATTTTGAAAGGTACAACCTCTTGTTTCAGGTCTCAGGTCTCTGTTTTGGTCTGCTTGTCTTCCCTGATTGGTTCCCCT